AACAAAGCTGAAAGGGAAAACAAAGTGCCACCTATCAAACGATCGGTTCTATAATAGGCTGACACCCGTCACTCAAATCTGGAACAACAGAGTGCTCTCTGAGAGCCTGTTAGGAGGAGGTGTTGTGCAGTGCAGCACTTCTGTTTACGGCTCACGCACGCACGCACGCACGCACACACACACACACGCGTGCACGCACACACACACACGCACGCACGCACGCGTGCACGCACACACACAGACAGACAGACAGACACACACACACACACACGCACGCACGCACGCACACACACACACACGCACAGACAGACACACACACACACACACAGACACGCATAAGCACACGCACGCACGCACTTCTGTTTACGGCTCACACACACAAACACACACACAGACAGACAGACACACACACACAGACACACAGACACACACACACACAAAGACTCTTAGCTAGCATCCAGGTCAAGTCTCTCTTGGTAATAATGAGTGTTGCATCGCCTGTTGCCTTCCATCCAGGCTGCTTAGAACAGTAAATATACCGAACACTGCAGTATTAAAAAATATCATAATGACAGAACTTGCCTCCTATTGTGCAGGCTCAGCGGACAAATACAAAAAAAACGTTTTACTTCAAGAGTGTCATAATTAACACCCTCCCAATTAGTCCAAACTGCGAAACAACACATTGTAGTTAAATTCTACAATGTTAACACACTACAGTTCACTATCTTATGATTGACAATCATCAATTATTTGTTATTTACTTAGTGGCTTGATAGCACAGCCATGTAATTTGCACTGTGTCTACAACTAATAACAGCTAATAATCTGCAATAGGTCAACTTATACCCCGTACTCTCATGTAACGTTAACTAAATAACATGGTAACGTAGCAAACAAACGTATTCATCTTTTCATAATATCCAGCAAACGACCGTCAAAGTTAATCTCCAGATCGTTGTAGCTAAAGCAACGTTAGATGAATGCTGAGCTGAACATGTTTGCTAACCTATCAGGGTGCGTCTTCAGATGCCTGATAAATTTACATGTGGTTAAATCGTTTATCTTGATAGCACACAATTCGCATTCAGCGCTCCTTTTGTTTGGGCCTTGTTGTATGACGTTCTTAAAGCCAAATCTTTTGACGAATGTCACCGGCAGCAGCCACTGTAGTTAACATGTTTGTTGTCCTCCCTCACGTGTGTCTGTGCGCAGCAGATACGTTATGTATTACGTAGAAGGTTCTAGATTACGGAGGGAGGGAAATAACGAGCAAATTCCAGCGCATCCAATGTCACACTGGAGTACAGCCTGCTGGGTAATGGGTGTGGTTTAAAGCCTGATGGGTAATGGGTGGGGTTAATAGCCTGATGGGCAATGGGTGGTGCTTATTTGTCACATAGGAATACAGCCTGATAGGTAATGTGTGGTGCTTATTTGTCACACTGTGGAGTACAGTTACGCAGCCAGATGTGTATTGGGTGGGCTTATTTGTCACACTGTGGAGTACAGTTACGCAGCCAGATGTGTATTGGGTGGGCTTATTTGTCACACTGTGGAGTACAGTTACGCAGCCAGATGTGTATTGGGTGGGGCTTATTTGTCACACTGTGGAGTACAGTTACGCAGCCAGATGTGTATTGGGTGGGGCTTATTTGTCACACTGTGGAGTACAGTTACGCAGCCAGATGTGTAATGGGTGGGGCTTATTTTGCCATACTTTTTATTGCTGGACTTCCAGTATGTAAGCACTGCGCTTTTCAGTATCAACTACTGCAAGTCCTATATTGGCTCAAACAAGCTCCATCTCTCTCTCTTGAGGGCTGCGTGGCTTTCTCCATCTTCTGTTTGCCACACGCTGCGTTGCATCGGCGCAAAGTGTTTCAGTTTGGAACGAGTGTCTGAGGCTGAAAAAGGCTCCTGATCCCGGAGTGCCACGTCCCTGGCGTTTCTCCGGCTGTCTCTCAGGCCAACCAACCCCCTGCTGAGCCCCTCCATCTGATTCGCCTTTTCACTCTCTGCACAACCCCTACTCATTTCCTTGTTCCTGGACTCGCCCACACTGTCTCTCTATGCCCTCGTCTGTTCTGATGTGTACTCTTATAAAGGGCTCTCTTTTTCAAGGGCTCTACTTTTAAAGGGCTCTACTTTTAAAGGGCTCTACTAAATCTGAAGGCTACCCAAGGCTCGCATGCCATTTTGTGGTGACATCTCGCACGCCCAGGGGTTTGGCTTTATGACCGTTTCTAGTTCTGGCACAGGCACATCCTGTCTGAGGCTTCATGTGTCATTCTCTGTCAGGTAGAGGTAGAGAACCATGATAACGCAGAATCAGAACGCAGGAACACAGACGGACAATGATACATCAGAAGGCTTACGTTCCGTCTTCATTGCTCCTGTAGAACACCATGAAAGGGTCTGACTTGCCAAAGAAGTCCTTCTTGTCCAGTTTGTTGGCACAGAACTGCATCGTCGCACTGTCCTTTTGAGTTACAAATAGAGAGATAAGAAGAGCGGAAGACATAGATATAAAGAAAAGACAATGAAGAAAATGTGTTAAACTTCAGAAGTTTACATATTAAATATAAAAAAGGTCTCATGCTGTGTTGACTTTAGTGACAGGAGTCCGTGTGGGAAATCAAACATTCCCGCAGTTCCATTCTGCTGTTTTGTTTAATATTGTTTTGCTGATACTTTCACAGGTATGTGGTACGTTTAAGGGAGTACAAAACAGATTATTAAAAAAGATGCTGTTTGACAAATACAATCTACAAAATCCTATTGTCACTTAGTGGCTAGAAATACACTGCAGGTTGCAATAGATAATAAAAATGTTTACAATAACGTAATCCTCAAAATATTTGTTGTCTTCGATGTGCTGTAGCAACGCGTCACGAGTGTGACACACAAGTGCCTTCCAGATTATTATCACTCTTGGCAAAGACAAGCAAATCAGACAATGAGGTCATTGCTGGTTATTAGTCATATGTATGTAGCTATGAAAGTAGCTACATGTCACAAAAACTTTGCAATTTACTGGAACAATACTTGAGAATTTATATCCAAATGAAACTGTAATAGACCTTCCTAGAAGGAGAAGTGAGGGTAGTTTGCCGAAACGCACAGCGACAAGGATGTTTTCAGGGGTATGACATTCTCTAAGGACCTCAGTTGAAAAAGTGCAATTAGTTCACTCCCTGAGTCACCAAGTCTCCAACACTACAATTTCAAGAAGGAACCATCAATTGTTATCAAGACAAATGTCAGCGCTTGTTAGCAAAACAACATTAATTTGTGTTGCATATTCTCTGTCGGAATACAGCCGTTTCGTATAGTGGATAATTAGGTAGGAAACCCGTGTTTAATCCAGGGAGAAGGATCCACAGAATTGATTTCAGAAACACAATCAGAAACACATTTCGTGACAGTCAAGTCTTTCAGTCAGATGACGAAGAATTATATAGCAGTCGGAAACAGGATGTAGACAGCAGGATGTAAGCGTGTCTACCGAGAACAAGACCATGGTGGCCTAGACATTCCTGAGACTGAATAAACACTCTATTTCCCCAGACTTGTGAAAACATAATTTATATAATTTACACCATGTGAATGGTTAGTAATTAATGCTCACATTCAACATTTGGAACAGAGTTCTTTGGTCAGATGAGACACAAAAACAGCAGAGGTTGGGTTTGGAGAAAAACAAGAGATGTTCATGCAGAAAAGCGTACTCCCCAATAGACATGAAGTATGTTGCCAATATGTTTTGTTCAGGGTCTGGCTTTTTAAGGTCCTGAGTGTTAGCGTCTTCCTTGTTATAGAAAATTGAGACAGGGTCCTGTGGAGCTGTAAAAGCTTACAGCAATCACAACAACAGGGTCGTGGGTTTGATTCCCGTGGGGGACCAGTAAGTCTCTCTGGATGAGAGTTTGTGTTAACTACCAGAACTGAAGGACAGGCAACATTACATGTGTGATGATGTTTTTTTGTTTTACAATTAACCACATGCAATTATGACCAAGTTACTGTAACTCCTACCTAATGTTTGTGTGTGTGTGCGTCAGTCTGCATGTATATGTGTTCGTGTATATGTGTTCGTCATAACCAGGGGCCCTCTCTATTGCCACAGAGGCACCCAAAGGCCATTAAATCCAGTGGTTGGTGTCAGCTTGTTTAATAAGGGACAAGCATACGTGAGTGTGTGTGTGTGTGTGTGTGTGTGTGTCTCTGTGTGTGTGTGTATGTGTGTGTGTGTCTGTGTGTGTGTGTGTCTGTGTGTCTGTGTGTCTGTGTCTGTGTGTGTGTGTGTGTGTGTGTGTGTGTGTGTGTGTCCATGTGTGTGTGTGTGTGTGTGTGTGTTTGTCTCTGTGTGTCTGTGTGTGTTTGTGTGTGTTTCATATTTTGCACTAGGGGTGAGTATAAGAGCTCATTATGGATAAACCAGAAGCTCCTGGGAGAAATGTAGCCACAGAGGTGATGCCACAGTAATGATGCGTACAAATGAACCAAGCCCAATTGATCATGCATATCAGAATAGGGCACTATACAGAGAATTAGGGTGTAGTTTAGGGTGGAGGGTATAGTGTTGTGTTCAAGACCACCAAGACCAAGACCAAGGTAGGGCGAGACCAGATCAACACTTGAAAAGTGCAGGGGATGAGAAAGATCACTAAAGACCAGACCAGTGCAGGAGGGAAAAAAATGTATACAGCGGCAGATGGCAAACGTTAGTTAGCTAGAGCTAGCTTTAATAGAGAAAGTCCCATTTTTAAATGCTTCCCTAAAAATGGGCAGAGCTTAACTAGGAAACCAAAAGCTGTGCAAAGTGAGACCCTTCCCTCTGAAAATTATAACAGTGGTTAGCAAAATCTATAAGTGGGTATCTCAGTGGTAGAGTACATGCTTTGTATGTATGGTGTCCTGGGTTTCTATTGGAGGAGCTGGTAGCTCAGTGGTAGAGGGCATGTTCTGTATGTATGGTGTCCTGGGTTCCTATTGGAGGAGTGGGTAGTTCAGTGGTAGAGTACATGCTTTGTATGTACAATGTCCTGGGTTCAATCCCCAGCTTCTCCCCGGGTTGACGTACAAAGTGTTTTGTCTCATTCTTTCCTCTCTCTTGTCTCTCTGTATCTTTCTTACTCTCTCTCTCTCCAATGCTTCCAAATCACAGCACTATATTTGGTAACTGTGTTGGCTTCATGCTAGTTGATCAAACTGGGAGGTGGAGTTAGAGCACATATTGATCTATAGGAATCATAGCAAAAACTCATTAAACACTTTTCTGTCCAATAAAGCAAATTATCCCTGATGATTTATCCTTTAAAAAGTTAGTGGTTATGTCTAAGAAAATAAATTTCTGCAAAAGTTAAGATTGTCCTGTTATTCGAGAATCTCTGAAATAACGTATTCCAAGACAATTAAGGGGCATTATGAATTCAAAAGAGCAGTATGACTTATGAATAATTCATATGAGGTTGTCCGTCTCTCTCTCCAGGGACCAATATGTTTCTTGTCTTCCAGCAGTCTTAAGAATATTTAGTCCTTATTGGGACTCTTTTCCCTACATAGAGCACTTTGGCCTTATGGGAATTGGTGGGAAAGTAGCGCTTAGTAAACAGAGTTCCATTTGGGCCACCGGCGCAATAAACAAACCGCCGTTAATTTGAAGCAGTTGCACATAAATCTGAGGAACGCATCAACAACGATGCAACAGTAACACAAAGCCAGAAGATATAGGAGACTCAGGCCCAAACAGCAACACAACGCCAGAAGATATAGGAGACTCAGGCCCAAACAGCAACACAACGCCAGAAGATATAGGAGACTCAGGACCAAACAGCAACACAATGCCAGAAGATATAGGAGACTCAGGCCCAAACAGCAACACAATGCCAGAAGATATAGGAGACTCAGGACCAAACAACAACACAATACCAGAAGATATAGGAGACTCAGGACCAAAAGCAACACAATGCCAGAAGATATAGGAGACTCAGGGCCAAACAGCAACACAACGCCAGAAGATATAGGAGACTCAGGCCCAAACAGCATCACAATACCAGAAGATATAGGAGACTCAGGCCCAAACAGCAACACAATGCCAGAAGATATAGGAGACTCAGGACCAAAAGCAACACAATGCCAGAAGATATAGGAGACTCAGGCCCAAACACCAACACAATACCAGAAGATATAGGAGACTCAGGACCAAACAGCAACACAACGCCAGAAGATATAGGAGACTCAGGACCAAAAGCAACACAATGCCAGAAGATATAGGAGACTCAGGCCCAAACACCAACACAATACCAGAAGATATAGGAGACTCAGGCCCAAACAGCAACACAATGCCAGAAGATATAGGAGACTCAGGCCCAAACAGCAACACAATGCCAGAAGATATAGGAGACTCAGGCCCAAACAACTACACAATGCCAGAAGATATAGGAGACTCAGGGCCAAACAACAACACAATACCAGAAGATATAGGAGACTCAGGGCCAAACAACAACACAATACCAGAAGATATAGGAGACTCAGGCCCAAACAGCAACACAATGCCAGAAGATATAGGAGACTCAGGCCCAAACACCAACACAATGCCAGAAGATATAGGAGACTCAGGCCCAAACAGCAACACAATGCCAGAAGATATAGGAGACTCAGGACCAAAAGCAACACAATGCCAGAAGATATAGGAGACTCAGGCCCAAACACCAACACAATGCCAGAAGATATAGGAGACCCAGGCCCAAACAGCAACATAATGCCAGAAGATATAGGAGACTCAGGGCCAAACACCAACACAATGCCAAGGAGACTCAGGACCAAAAGCAACACAATTCCAGAAGATATAGGAGACCCAGGCCCAAACAGCATCACAATACCAGAAGATATAGGAGACTCAGGCCCAAACAGCTCTCCAGGGCGTTTTAAAGCTCAGGCCTGACGTGGCACTTTGGCCTTCTCTCCTATTTATTATCCAACAGTGTGTTGTAAGCAGATAGATAGAACACCAATTATAAATCACATCTGGCCTGGGAGCCTGACACTCATCTGCTATCCTTCCTCCTCGTCCTGTTCCTCGATTATCTTCCCGCTGCTAAGAGAGTCGCACATGAATACACACACGCGTGAACACACACACACGCGCGTGTGAACACACACACACGCGCGCGTGAACACAGCTTGGAGCAGGCTAATCTTACTTGAGGAAAAGAGACACTGGTGCTTCATTTTCCAAAGAGCTGAAGTGCCAGCTGATGAACAGGAGCAGTTGGCATGATAAACACATTTTCCTGTTGTTGTTGGGTCAGGATTTTTCATGCAGCCGGGCCTCCAGGCTCCACACTGGACCCAACCCGCGCTAGCAGAACCTCATAATGATATTACTAATGGCTTTTTAATGTGGAAGCAGATTTGTTCTGTGGCGAGTGAGTGAGAGAGTTTGTTGGCTTGTGTTTGGCTGTGTGTGTGTGTATGTGTGTGTGTAGATGTGTGTGTTTATGTGTTTCTTTATTTGTATGTGTTTGTTTATGTGTATGTGTATGTGTATGTGTGTGTGTGTGTGTGTGACCTGTGTCTCGTTATCGCTCTCAGTCAGACTCAGACTGTTGGCTGTGTTCACTCTCATACAAACACACTTCTCTGGATGGTGGCCTTAAGCACTGTCTCATCACTTCAGGAATACAAAGAAGAGCAGAACTTATCCAACACTGTACGACACGCCAAACACATACTCATATGAAGACATAGGACAGAGATCTTCTCACTGTACGACACGCCACACACATACTCATATGAAGACATAGGACAGAGATCTTCTCACTGTACGACACGCCACACACATACTCATATGAAGACATAGGACAGAGATCTTCTCACTGTACGACACGCCACACACATACTCATATGAAGACATAGGACAGAGATCTTCTCACTGTACGACACGCCACACACATACTCATATGAAGACATAGGACAGAGATCTTCTCACTGTACGACACGCCACACACACACTCATATGAAGACATAGGACAGAGAGCTTCATCGTTAAAATTGATCTGAAATCTATCTGGAATCTATCTATTATCTATCTGGAATATATCTGGAATATATCTGGAATATATCTGGAATATATCTGAAATAGGACGTCTTTTGTAATGCCGACATATGGAGTTCCTGCTTTAACAAGGTGATAGTCAGCCACAGTTACCAAAAGACCAGTAACCTCAAGGTTATTTAATCGAATCCCTGAGTTGGGAATGGAAAAAATATAATGGGTGGCTGAAATGTAAATCCATGTGAAGACAAATATCACACAGATGATCTCACAATGTCTTGAAAGTCTACCTCTACGGATTAAAGGGATGTCGGAGTCATGGTCGGGGTATGGCATGACACGAGGTGCAAAGTAGGAGTGTGTCATTTCTTTAATATATTTAGTAAAAACAACAAACAATACAGAGGAATAAGAGAAGAGGGAGGCTCCTCCCCCGAAGCAGAACAAGGATGTGGTGTTAGCCGGGACTTGTTGTTGGATCACCCCTCTGGGGGTAAGGAGGGCAGCTGGAGGTACTGGGGTAAGGTCTGGCAGGCAGGAGCATTATGGTCATTTGCCAGTGACAATGATGACTAACACCTACACATCCATCAATGAGTCCATCCTGACCTCCTCCATCACCGTCTGATACGCTGCAGCCACTCTCAAGGACAAGGGCAGACTTCAGGGCATCATCCGCTCTGCAGAGCGGACAATTGGATGTGATCTTCCATCTCTCAAAGAGTTGTATACCACCAGGTCACTGAGGAGGGCAGCAAAGATTGAGGCAGACTCCTTCCATCTGAGAAATGGACTACTCTGGCCTCTGGTAGAAGGCTGAGGTCTATCAAGACCAGAACCTCTCACAACAAAAACAGTTTCTCTCCCGCAGCAATAAGCCCAAGGAATATGCCTCAGCTCCCATTTGTCCCTAGCCTGCCCCAAAATTCTCATTGGTTTATACACTCTGTACACTATTGGGACAGTTACATTCTCTAAAGGACATCTGCAGTATAAATAGTCTTTGCACATTTGCACAATTTGCATATTCATGCAATACATATTGTATTGAAATATTGCATTCTAGCTATGTATTGCACATTTAAAATGATATTCTGCATATTCTAGCTACGCATGGTCTCTCTTGTTCATCTTATTCGTATCATTCAATCTCGAAAGACATCTGAACTCTACGCAGACATCGCAGATTTGCACAATTGCATTATCAATTACATATTAAAATCGCAGCATTTACATATTATATTTTAACACTGCATATTCTATCTAGACTTTTGTTGTTCGTGTTGTTACTATTTGTCCTTCAATGTGTGAATTAATGTTGCAGAAATGTGTCAAAACAAAACAAAAACTTCCTGATTCTTCGGCTTCTGAACACGGCCTCCTCCACCGTACCCTGGTCCCAATGCAGGCGGGGGTTTGTCACAGAACCCTCAGGAGCGGGGTGACGGGGCACAACCTCACCCCATCCCCGTTTTGTCACACACAAAAGAATCAATTAAGTGTTTTTGTATTAATAATACACACTTATCAAGACTGACACACGGAGCTATTGCTGCGCTGTCACCATTGGTGGTTAACAAAGGCCTCGTTTAGAATCAATGCTGCTGTGTGTCGTAGGGCACATGTGTCCTGTCTTGTGAATGAGAAACGAGAAACACACAGATGATGATTGATTGGAGCCGGGATGGGGGTCAATTCGATTGCGATTCCAGTCAATTCCGGAAGCTCACATGAATAAATGCTCTGCACAATGGGAACCTGAAGTTCTGTCCACCTTTCCACCTAACTGGATTAGATCAATGGTAGCACATTTGAATTCCCCGTAGGGAATTATGACATTCACTGCTTGGAAAGGCTTTCCTGGATTCCTCTAGCCTGCTAACAGGACAGGACATAAACCGTTTATGGTGGTGGAATGTGTATTAAATATGCAGCAGTTCCAGGCTAATATAATCGGAGACACGTGCAGGCTTTCCTCAGTGACACCACCTCATCCCTCCTTCCAGCCCCC